TGGCTTGGACTTGAGGGCGGGGCTACAAGGAGGAGTGATTTGAGCTTGTGGGCGGGGCTTTTGTTGCAGGGGGCGTGGCCACTGCGATGGGGGCGTGGCTAGGAGGAAGGGGACGTGGCTACGTGGAAGGGGGCGTGGCTTGGTCTTGTGGGCGGGGCTTTTGTCATAAGGCGTGGCTTCCGAGACGGGGGCGTGGCTTGAGATAGTGGGCGTGGTTTCGTTTCAATTGGGCGTGGCTCTGAATTGAGGGCGTGGTTTGGGTCAGTGGGCGTGGCTTCTTGAAAGGGGGCGTGGTCTCGGAAGGAGGGCGTGGCTTTGCTTTGGGGGTGTGGCTTAGAGGAAGAGGGCGTCGTTATGTTGTTTTGTGGGCGTGGCTTTGCGAAAGGGGGCGTGGCCTCGCTCAGGAGTTGCGGATCTTTGTTGGTGGGCGTGGCTTTCCGGAAGAGGGCGTGGTTTTATGGAAGGGGGCGTGGCCACGGGTCGGAGGGCGTGGTCTCAGTGTGGGTGTGGCCATATAAAGGGTGTGCTCATAGATTGGGCGTGGCTTCAACGGTGGGCGTGGCTTCGGGATTGGGGGCGTGGCTTTCCGATATCAGGGCGTGGTCTCAACTTAGGGGGCGTGGCTTTTCCCGAGTGGGCGTGGCTTGGGGGTGGGCTTCCCTCACCTCTCCGAATTGCCCCTCCCCCAACTTCTCCCGGAAGCGGAGGCGGCCACGTGGGAATGCTGGGAGGGCGGGGCTGGGGGCGTGGCCATGGCAGTGGGCGGGGCCAGCGAGGGCGTAGGCGGAGCCTCCGGTGACGTCAGCTTCAGCATAGGCCCCCGCCCCCACCTCGGGTTCCATTACACCTATGGGGTGGAAATTGGGGGGGGGGGTCAGAAAGGGGCGTGGCTTATGGGCAGAGGTTGGGAGGGGTGAGAAGTGGGCGTGGCCTCACCGTCGGTGTTGATTGGCTTGGCTCCGTCGGGCGGGTCGCGGGCGTGCCCTCCCATTGGCTGAGCGTAGGTGGCCAGCAGCAGGCGATAGGCTGGGTTGGCGAAGGGTGACGTTGGGGGGGCGGGGCCTGGGTAAGGGGCGGGGCTAACGATTAGGCTCCGCCCACTCCCACCAGACTCAGGTGGGTTTCAGGGTGGGGGTGGGGGAGGGGGGGGGGTGAGGTTGGAACCCTTCTTCCATACGTCTGTCCATCTGTCCGTCCATTTATCAACCTGTTCATCTGTCCGTCCGTCCATCCGTCCGTCCATCCATTTGTCCATCCACCCATTCATCTGTCCACCAGTCTGTCCGTCCATTCATCCACCTATCCATCCACCCATCTGTCCATCCATCCGTCCATCTGTCCGTCCATCCATCCATCCACCCATCCGTCCATCCATCTGTCCATCCATCTGTCCGTCTGTCCATCCATCTATCCATCTATCCATCCACCCATCCCTTCATCCATCCATCCATCCACCCATCCGTCCGTCCATCCATCCATCCATCTGTCCGTCCGTCCATCCATCCATCCACCCATCCGTCCATCCATCTGTCCATCCATCTGTCCGTCTGTCCATCCATCTATCCATCTATCCATCCACCCATCCATCCATCCATCCATCCATCCATCTGTCCGTCCGTCCATCCATCCATCTATCCATCCACCTATCTATCCTTCCTTCCATCCATCCATCCATCCATCTGTCCGTCCGTCCATCCATCCATCCACCCATCTGTCCATCCATCCGTCCATCCATCTGCCCGTCCGTCCATCCATCCATCTATCCATTCACCTATCTATCCTTCCATCCATCCATCCATCTGTCCGTCCATCCATCCATCCGTCCATCCATCCGTCCATCCATCTGTCCGTCCGTCCATCCATCTATCCATCCACACATCTGTCCATCCATCCATCCTTCCATCCATCCATCGTCACAACCATACTCCCTTCCCTTCCCTTCCCTTCCCTTCCCTTCCCTTC